AATTAGGATCACAATTTATGTTAAGCAAGTTTGCAAATATCACAAAATTTCAAGTTCCCAAAATGAGAATAGAACATATTATAGTAATTAAGCAATGGTGTATCAACATGCGACTCTTTGTTAGCATTTCAGGGTGTTACAACTCTCTTCCCCTTAAAGAAATTTCATCTCGAAATTTACCTTACACTTGTCCAGAAAGAAGTGCGGATGCTAGGTCCTCATGTCTTCTTCTCTCTCCCATGTAGCTTCTTTTCCCGAATGGTTCCTCCAAAGTACCTTTATTAGGTGGATTTTCTTGTTTCTAAGTTGCTTCACTTCCCTAGCTTGAATTAAGATAGGTTCTTCATTATACGTCAAGTCAGGATTAACCTGAATAGATTCAACTGGAAGAACATGAGATGGATCAGAACGATATATTCTGAGCATAGAGACATGGAAGACATTGTGGATCTTGTCTAACTCAGGTGGCAAAGCCAATTTATATGCAACTGGTTCAACCCTTTCAAGTATCTCATAAGGTCCAATAAAGCAGGGACTAAGTTTTCCTTTTTTGGCCAAATCTCATAATCTTTTTCCATGGAGAAACCTTTAAGAATACTTTATCTCCAACTTGATATTCAATATCACGCCTTTTGAGATCAGCGTACGACTTTTGTCTATCCGAAGAAATCTTTAGACGATCCTTGATAATTTTTACCTTCTCCTCTGTTTGTTGCACAATTTTAGGACCAATAAGTTTTCTGTCACCAACTTCACTCCAACAAAGAGGGGTCCGACACTTTCTTCCATACAAGGCTTCATAAGGAGGCATTCCAACACTCGATTGGTAATTGTTATTGTAAGCAAATTCCATAATGCGAGCTAGAAGCATATCCTCCAAAATTTGTATCACTCTTTACGACTAGACGTCTGTTTGAGGATGGAACAAAGTGCTAAATTTCATCTTAGTACCCAAAGCTTCCTGCAAGTTACCCCAAAATCTAGATGTAAACCTTGGGTCTCGACTAGATACAATAGACACAGGGATACCAAGTAGTCTTACAATCTTATTAATGAACAATTCGGCTAAGCGCTCAAGTGAGTATTCCATCCTGATTGCTAAGAAGTGAGTACTCTTGGTTAGCCTATCCACAATCACCCATATTGCATCATGACTTCTTTAGGTGTGAGGAGGTCCAAAAACAAAGTCCATAGTTATTCTCTCCCATTTCCATTCCGACATCGACAAGGGCTGTAGTAAATCAACTGGGACCTGATGTTCTGCCTTTACTTATGGACAAACTAAACATTTAGAAATGAACTCCGCATTGTCTCTCTTCATACCATTCCACCAATAATTTTCTTTGATGGTTTGGTACTTCTTTGTACCCCCAGGATGCATTGCATATGGTGAGGTATGTGCTTCATTCAGTATTACTCTCATCAATTTGTCATCATTAGGTAGGCATAACCTGTTTTGATAAAATAAGCCACCATCCTCTGTTAATGAAAAATCATGTTTTTCCCCATTTTGAACTTCTCTGGTCAATTTTACAAGTTTCTCATCTAACTTTTGTGCTTCTTTCACCTGTTCAATTAATATTTCCTTTTTTTGCAAATTAGCAATAACTAAACCATTTGAATCAAGTGTGGAACAAACAATCATGGTTCTTAACTCAGGGAGCAAAAGCAAAGGACTCAAAGAAATGCCTACGAATTATTTTCGACTTAAGGCATCTGCACCCACATTAGCTTTATCCAGATGATAATCAATCGTGCAGTAATAATCCTTGATGAGTTCAAGCCATCTACGTTGTCCTAGGTTTATTCCCTTCTGAGTACCCAAGTAATTTAAGCTCTTGTAATCAGTGAATATATGATATTTCTCTCCCTACAAGTAATGCTGCCATATTTTTAAAGCAAACACTATAGCAACAAGTTCAAGATCATGAGTAGGATAATTCAATTCATGCGGTTGTAATTTCCGAGGGTATAAGAAATAACCTTCCCTTCTTGCATCAAAATGCATCATAGACCATTGTGAGAAGCGTCGTTGTATACTATATATTCTTTCCCTTCAATTGGTAGAATAAGTATAGGCGCTTGAGTCAACATGGATTTGAGAGTTTCAAAGCTCTCTTGGCATTTGTCACCCCAAATAAACTTTACTTCCTTCTACAAGAACTTAGTCAAAGGGGAGGAGATAATGGGCAATTGTGACCTAAGGTTTATGATGATAATGAAGATGTGAATAGATTATTTGATTCTAGTATAATATATATGTGTATTAGATGTTAGAATTGTGAGGTTTGATCCCTTTGAAAGTGGGGAGATGTTTACTTTATAGGCATGTTGTGACCATGGCCTTATAGGCAAAGTTGGGTGATTGTTGTTTTGAGTAAATGTGATTATGTGAAGGTAATGTGATATGATGTGAATTTGTGTATGGTCAAAGAGCATGAAAGGTGACCTTGTGTAAGAGACTTTATGTATTATGCTTGGTTGTTGTCTTCTTTGAATGACTTATAATGAATGTGAGGTTAGGGTAGACTATGTTAACCTACTCTCACACCTAGTGAAGAATGAAAGAAAGAATGTAACAATGAATGAAAAGAATGGGAGTTAATGATAATGAATGAAACTTGGGTCTATTGTACGGATAGTCTCATAAAGTACTTCTCTAAATGAACGGGGTTCCTAAATGAAAGGTTTTCTCATCTTTAAATCCAATAACTTCCTTAATGAATGAATGAGGGTTAGGATGGGTATTCCTTCGTGAGTTGAGAGGAGAATACTTAGTAGCAATCCCTATCTCTAACTGAATGAATGCTGGGCTAGGATGGTTCTCCTTTGTGAGTTGAGATGTGAGTACTTAGTAGCAATACTTATCCCTAAATGAATGTCCTACTCCATGGAGGAGTAATGCCTAGAACCGACAGGATATAAAGATATGTGGATACACCTTCGTTAGTTGAAATGTGAGTATTTATTAGCAACCCTTAAGATGGGTGCCCATTTGTTAGTTGAGATGTGGGTACTTAGAAGCAATATTTCTATCCCTTAACTATGTGCCCACATAGGACTAGCAAGTTGTCTCTACCACGTAAAGGCTAAAAGAGTGACCCTACGTTAGGCAAGTGGGGATCCCTCATCCGGTAAGGGTACTACCGGGATTCCATGTCAAGCTCAATGGTCTATGTCGGTTAACGCTTCTCCCCCACATTAATGAATGCATGACCTAGGGTATCTTAAGGATGAACTACTTAGGATAGGTGGTGGAATGGGACAAAATCTAGACATTGCACAAGTAGACATTTAAAGGAGATCTTGGTGTGTCTTAGCAATGATAATGAATGAATGAGTCTCTTTGGGCTAATTAATGAAAGTTTTGGTCTTTGAGCATGCTATTGTGAATGTAAGTGCTTATGTTGAATTGGATGTATGTGATGATCTTATGTCATTAGTGAATGAAGTTGTCTAAATGCATTAAGTTGAAAGAAGGATTAATGTTGAGATATGAATGGATCTTATCTTGGGTAGCCTTAAGGATCACTTGGGTGTGGTATGGAGAGGTAGTATGGGCTGCCTCACCATGTCTTACTTAGGTTAGTCTTGGGATAACATTTGATGAGTGTTCTAGGTTTATGAAGTGACTTGTTGGCTTATGTGGTTATATGTCTTATGTGATTAATTGGTGAAGGTTGAGGTAGGCATGGTAAGTGCACTTTGTGTGACCTTAAGGTGGTGCATTAGTGTGGGTGATGGTATGGGACGTTGCCCATACATTGCACAAAGGTATTGTTTAAGGGTTACTTAATGTGGAGGTCCAAAGCAAGAAGGTAAAGGTAAATGGGTTATGTATGTTTATGAGGTATTGTAAAGCATATGACTTGTAAGGTGGCTATTATGTTGATGTTCATGAGATTTTATTAAAATGACATGAAAGCATAACTTCTGAACAAATGCCCTTTTTATCATGTTTTTCATATCCTCATACTTAGTACGTGTGTTGTACTAACCCCTTTCTTCTATTTTATTACAAGTGTAGGTTGTGGTAACTAGGAGGAGATTGTGCTTTGGAGTTGCTTGGATTGCTTCACTCTTCCAAATCATTGGTATGTCCTCAAGATTCGAGGACTATATTTAGAAGTTTCTTAGTCATTCTAAAAGACAATTAAGTTTCATTTCATTTGTAAATGGCCGTGTCCCTTAGTACGTATTAAGTTCTTGTGTAAGATTGGCTAAAGAGACTTAGTAGTTCCGCTTGCGTATTGGTGTTTTCAAATGTTGATGACTCTTGAAGTCTAATGGTTTTATTGAATAAAAGTTTTAAATTCTTAGTGATTTTTATGATCTATGCGATGAATGAATGCTAAGTCTTGTATAAGACCTCTGAGAGGTCGAATACGAATGTAACGGCTAGGGGGTGCTCCGGAGTTGTTACAAACTTGGTATCAGAGCATAAGGTTTAAAGATTGCTAGTAGGTTCAAAGTCTCGAAAGCCACATCTAGTAGAGTCTTGTTCATCGGTGTGAGTCGGGACACATCTATGAGCGAGAGGCTATAGGATGATAGAAGTTTCACTTTATTTCATTATTCTGCAGGTCGTGCTGTAGAGTTTGCTCTATAAGTCTCCTTTTCCTATTTTTTGTGTCTTGTGTTTATATGATATTAATACGAGGGTTAACCGGAGGAGAGCGGAAGAGGAGATAGATGATGGGGGAGTTAGTCCCCAAGGAGTGTAAGGTGGCCAAGCCTCTCTAGGTGGACAAGAGAATGTGATTCCGGTGGTTCCCCCGTATATGACTAATGGGGAGATTAGAGAGCTTTTTCTCTCCCTAGCCGGTGCCATGACTACTCAAGAATATAGTGATGTGAGGCCTAGGGCGTATGCTATTGACAGTACCGTGGCCTCAAGGTTAAGGCATTTCACAAGGATGAATTAACCTACCTTCTTGGGTTCGAAGGTAGAATAGGACCCACAAAACTTTATTAATGAGGTGTTTAAGATTGTGAATGCCATGGGAGTGACTCCTAGGGAGAAGGCGGAGTTGGCTTCCTACCAGCTCAAGGATGTAGCTACATTGTGGTTTGAGCAATGGAGGGATGAGAGACCCATAGTGGCTGACCCAATAGATTGGGGAGTATTTAAGACGACCTTTCTTGATAGGTTTTTCCCCTTAGAGTTGACGGAGCAAAAGTTGGTTGAGTTCATGAACCTACGTCAAGGCTATATGAGTGTGAAGGAATACTCTCTCAAGTTTACCCAACTCTCTCAGTATCCTCGTACTTTGGTAGCAAATTCTAGGGCTAGAATTAATAAGTGTGTGATGGGGGTTTCCGGTTTGGTTAAAGAAGAGTGTCGTACAACCGTGCTCCATCATGATATGGATACCTCTAGGCTCATGGTTTATGCTCAACAACATGAGGAGACAAAACTTAGGAAGATGAATAGACACATGAAGAGGGCTAGGCCGGATGAACAAAACCAATCTAGGTCTAAGAAAAGGTTCTATAACCAAGATTCTTCAATGGTCAACAATGATAGGGTGTCTAACCCTAAACCTCAAAAAGGGAATGGAGGTGGTTCTACTTTAGAGAGGACTAGGTGTGCTACTTGTGAAAAGCAACATTTGGGCAAGTGTCTTGCCAGCACGGATGGATGCTTTGGATGTGGGAGTAAGGGTCATAGGATGAGAGATTGCCCTACTCTTAAGGCAGAAGGAAAAGAGACTGATCAAGTTGCTCATGATGGCCCGGATCCAAATGCTCCTAAGAGGAACCGTTTCCTTATGCTTCAAGCCAACAAGGATAAGGGAACAAATGAAGGTAAGTCAATTTTCTTTGTTGTTTGATGATAACCTTAGATAGGTTTACCATAAGTGGGTGATGATGAGTTGAGTAGTAAGGTTGTTGATATCATTATCTTTTCCTTCTATTCTAATTCAAGATTGAAACAAAGAGTTCTTAGTAGCATGTTGCATGTTGCAGTCTTATGTGAATTGAGTTTCCATATTCTCCTTATGATGTGGATATTTTAGTTGAATTCTTGTTTAAATAAATAAATGAGTTTTCATGACTTTGTCCCTCATGATTAACATGCATTTATAAGAAATTGTTTAAATTGCTCCATGAGATGCCTAGTCGAGCATGATATGCTATGGAGAAGGAAGTACCTCCAAAAAAATGAGAAGTGGTAAAGTTTTGTGCATATTGAGTGGTAGATGTTATTCTTAATTCTTTGAATTGCACGAAAGTCGCGTTGTAATGCTTTTTATGTGATTTGATGCTTCCTCCTTGATGTGTGTTGTAGTAATGATATTACATTATTGTTGGGCTGCTAGTCCTAGAGTCTTTACTCTTTAATGCTAGAAGTGTCATTCGAGGATTAATGTTCCCAAGTGGGGGATACTGTAACGCCCTTCAAAATGAAATAGGATAATTAGAGCTTCACATGTGTGTTAGTACTTGATAAACTTGTATAAATTTTTGAAAATGAGTTTATAAGTCAGTTTAGTTGAGTTTGAAGTCAAACGTCAAAGAGACGTTCAAGACGTTTGGAAACTAGTCTTTTACATGTTGGTGAGTTCTTGTGTGTTGTTGATATTTAATATGTTGTTTGGAGTCTAAAATCAGTGGAGGGGACCCTATTGTCTTAAAAAATGTTTTTAGGGTGAAAACGTTCGGGTATGACTCCCTACGACCACCCTAAGGGTCCCCAAGGATGACCCCAACCCTTGGCTAAACAAGCTGCCAAGGTAGCTTGAAAATACACTTGGAGGGAGCTTGTCCGCGTCGCGGACTAGCTGCACCAATGGCCAAAAATCTTGGTCCGCATCGCGGAAGTGTCGCGGACTCCTCTGTCTCGAAATTCAATATCCAGAAACTTGTGGGAACTGCTCCGTGTCGCGGACATGTTTACTGATGAAATCTGCGAAAATAATGCTGAAGTTTGACTTGTTTTAAAATGTCCGACTAAGTGAGGGGTGATTTGGGGTACTTTGGCGAAGTATTATAATTGGTTATTCTACCTATTTTAGGGTATTTTGAGTGGATGAAACCCCAAGACCTAGAATTAGACCTCATTATCTAAATTGAACCTTCCCTCTCAAATAAACTTTCTCTCTAGAACTACATGGAAGACATCTTTGAAGCTACAAGCTACGGGATGGGTTTTCACTAATTTCTCCTTCAAATTCCTAATAAATTAATCATAAAGGTATGGGGATTTTATCTTTGATTCTCCTTTCAATCAAAGAGCCAAATCAAAGAGATTTCAATGTTTTTCAAAAACACTAAAAAACCGCAATTACAATTCTAAACTTTGGTTCTTGTATGAAAGTATTTCAAATGATGTTTTATGTTAATAATGATGATTTTAAGGTTAAAAATTCCATGAACCCTTGCATATATTGAAACCCTAATTTTGGGTCTAAAGTGGGTCTATTGATTATGAGCTAATAATGTGATATTAATGTGTCGATTGTTATGGGCTATTGATATATGTATTGTTCTATATTGGATTAAGAGGAATTGATGGTCAATTGTGTTATATTGGATGTTGGCCTTGAATGGGCAATTGTGACCTAAGGTTTATGACGATAATGAAGTTGTGAATAGATTGTTTAATTCTTATATAATATATATGTGTTGTAGATGTTAGAATTGTGAGGTTTGATCCCTTTTAAAGTGGGGAGGTGTTTACTTTATAAGCATGTTGTGACCATGGCCTTGTAGGCAAAGTTGGATGATTGTTGTTTTGAGTAAATGTGATTATCTGAAGCTAATGTGATATGATGTGAATTTGTTTATGGTCTATGAGCATGAAAGGTGACCTTGTGTAAGAGACTTTATGTATTATGCTTGGTTGTTTTCTTCATTGAATGACTTATAATGAACGTGAGGTTAGGGTAGACTATGTTTACCTACTCTCACACCTAGTGAAGAATGAATGAAAGAATGTAAGAATGAATGAAAAGAATGGGAGTTATTGCTAATGAATGAAATTTGCGTCTATTGTAATGATAGTCTCATAAAGTTCTCATTTAAATGAACGGGGTTCCTAGATGAAAGGTTTTCTCCTTTTTGAATCCAAGAACTTTCTTAATGAATGAATGTGGATTAGGATGGGTATTCCTTCGTGAGTTGAGATGAGAATACTTAGTAGCAATCCCTATCCCTAAATGAATGAATGTTGCGCTAGGATGGGTGCTTCTTTGTGAGTTGAGATGTGAGTACCTAGTAGCAATCCTTATCCCTAAATGAATGTCCTACTCCGTGGGGGAGTAATGCCTAGAACCGAGAGGATATAAAGATGGGTGGATACTCCTTCGTTAGTTGAGATGTGAGTATTTAGTAGCAACCCTTAAAATAGGTGCCTCTTCGTTAGTTGAAATGTGGGAACTTAGAAGCAACCCTTCTATCCCTTAACTATGTGCCCACATAGGACTAGCAAGTTGTCTCTACCACGTAAAGACTAAAAGAATGACCCTATCTTAGGCAAATTGGGATCTCTCATCTGGTAAGGGTACTATCGGGATTCCATGTCAAGCTCTATGGTCTATGTCGGTTAACGTTTTTCCCCCACATTAATGAATGAATGAACTAGGGTCTCTTAAGGATGTACTACTTAGTATAGGTGGTGGAATGGGACACCATCTAGACGTTGCACAAGTAGACATTTAAAGGAGATCTTGGTGTGTCTTAGTAATGATAATGAATGAATGAGTCTCTTTGGGCTAATTAATGAAAGTGTTTGTCTTTGAGAAAGCTATTGTGAATGTAAGTGCTTATATTGAATTGGATGTATGTGTTGATCTTATGTCATTAGTGCATGAAGTTGTCTAAATGCATTAAGTTGAAAGAATAATTTATGTTAATATGTGAATGGAGATTGTCTTGGGTAGCCTTAAAGATTACTTGGGTTGGTATGGAGGGGTAGTATAGGCTACCTCACCATGTCTTACTTAGGTGAGTCTTGGGAAAACATTTGATAAGTGTTCTAAGTTTATGAAGTGACTTGTTGGATTATGTGGTTATATGTCTTATGTGATTAATTGGTGAAGGTTGAGGTATGCATGGTAAGTGCACTTTGTGTGACCTTAAGGTTGTTCCTTAGTGTGGGTGATGGTATGGGACGTTGCCCATACAATGCACAAAGGTATTGATTGAGGGTTACTTAAGGTGGAGGTCCAAGGCAAGAAGGTAAAGTTAAATGGGTTATGTATGTTTATGAGGTATTGTGAAGCATATGACTTTGCATTGTTAGTTGTGACTTGTAAGGTGCTTATTATGTTGATGTTCATGAGATTTTATTAAAATGGCATGAAAGCATAACTTCCGAACAAATGTCCTTTTTAGCATGTTTTTCATATCCTCATACTTAGTACGTGTGTTGTACTAACCCTTTTCTTCTATTTTACTACAAGTGTAGGTTGTGGTAACTAGGAGGAGATTGTGCTTTGGAGTTGCTTGGATTGCTTCACTCTTCCAAGTCTTTGGTATGTCCTCAAGATTCGAGGACTATGTTTAGAAGTTTCTTAGTCATTGTAATAGACACTTAAGTTTCATTTCGTTTGTGAATGGTCGTGTCCCTTAGTACGTTTTAAGTTCTTGTCTAAAATTGGCTAAAAAGACTTAGTAGTTCCGCTTGCGTATTAGTGTTTTCAAATGTTGATGACTCTTGAAGTCTCATGGTTTTATTGAATAAAAGGTTTAAATTCTTAGTGATTCTTATGATCTATGCGATGAATGAATGCTAAGGCTTGTATAAGACCTCCAAGAGGTCGAATACGCATGTAACGGCTAGGGGGTCCGCCCGGGTCGTTACAAACTTGGTATCTGAGCATAAGGTTTAAAGATAGCTTGTAGGTTCAAAGTATCGAAAGCCACATCTAGTAGAGTCTTGTTCAGTGGTGTGAGTCAGGACACATCTATGAGCGAGAGGCTATAGACCGATAGAAGTTTCACTTTCTTTCATTATTCTAGAGGTCGTGCCTGAGAGTTTGGTCTATACGTGTCCTTTTCCTAATTTGTCTCTTGTGTTTATATGATATGAATACGAGGGCTAACCGGAGGAGCGCGGAAGAGGAGATAGATGATGGGGGAGTTAGTCCCCAAGGAGTGTAAGGTGGCCAAGCCTCTCTAGGTGGACAAGAGAATGTGATTCCGGTGGTTCCCCCGTATATGACTAATGGGGAGATTAGAGAGCTTTTTCTCTCCCTAGCCGGTGCCATGACTACTCAAGAATATAGTGATGTGAGGCCTAGGGCGTATGCTATTGACAGTACCGTGGCCTCAAGGTTAAGGCATTTCACAAGGATGAATTATCCTACCTTCTTGGGTTCGAAGGTAGAATAGGACCCACAAAACTTTATTAATGAGGTGTTTAAGATTGTGAATGCCATGGGAGTGACTCCTAGGGAGAAGGCGGAGTTGGCTTCCTACCAGCTCAAGGATGTAGCTACATTGTGGTTTGAGCAATGGAGGGATGAGAGACCCATAGTGGCTGACCCAATAGATTGGGGAGTATTTAAGACGACCTTTCTTGATAGGTTTTTCCCCTTAGATTTTGACGGAGCAAAAGTTGGTTGAGTTCATGAACCTACGTCAAGGCTATATGAGTGTGAAGGAATACTCTCTCAAGTTTACCCAACTCTCTCAGTATCCTCGTACTTTGGTAGCAAATTCTAGGGCTAGTATTAATAAGTGTGTGATGGGGGTTTCCGGTTTGGTTAAAGAAGAGTGTCGTACGGCCATGCTCCATCACGATATGGATATCTCTAGGCTTTTGGTTTATGCTCATCAACTTGAGGAGACTAAACTTAGGAAGATGAATAGAGATATGAAGAGGGCTAGGCCGGATGAACAAAACCAATCTAGGTCTAAGAAGAGGTTCTATAACCAAGATTCTTCAATGGTCAACAATGATAGGGTGTCTAACCCTAAACCTCAAAGAGGGAATGGAGGTGGTTCTAATTTTGAGAGACTAGGTGTGCTACTTGTGGAAAGCAATATTTGGGCAAGTGTCTTGTCGGCACGGATGGATTCTTTGGATGTGGGATTGAGGGTCATATGATGAGAGATTACCCTACACTTAAGGAAAAAGTGATAGAGACCGATCAAGTTGCTCATGATGGCCCGGATCCAAATGCTCCTAAGAGGAACCGTTTCTATATGTTTCAAGCTAACAAGGATAAGGGAACAAATGAAGGTATGTCAATTTTATTTCTTGTTCGATGATAACCTTAGATTGGTTTAACCTAAGTGGGGGATGATGAGTTGAGTAGTAAGGTTGTTGATTTCCTTATCATTTCCTTCTATTCTAATTCAAGCTTGAAACAAAGAGTTCTTAGTAGCATGTTGCATGTTGGAGTCTTGTGTAGATTGAGTTTTCATATTCTCCTTATGATGTGCATATTTTAGTTGAATTCTTGTTTAAATAAATAAATGAGTTTTCATGACTTTGTCTCTCATGATTACATGCAATTATGAAGAATTGTTTAAATTGCTCCATGAGATGCCTAGTCGAGCATGCTATGGTATAGATAAGGAAGTTCCTCCAAAAAAATGAGAAGTGGTACAACTTTGTGCATATTGAGTGGTAGATGTTGTTCCTACTTCCTTGAATTGCAAGAAAGTCTTGTTGTGATGCTTTTTATGTGATTTGATGTTTCCTCCATGATGTGTGTTGTAGTAATAATATTACATTCTTGTTGTGGGCTGCTAGTCCTAGAGTCCTTACTCTTTTATGCTTGAAGTGTCATTCGAGGAGAAATGTTCCCAAGTGGGGGATATTGTAATGCCCCTCAAAATGAAATAGGATAATTAGAGCTTCACATTCGTGTTAGTAGTTGATAAACTTGTATAAATTTTTGAAAATGAGTTTATAAGTCAGTTTAGTTGAGTTTGAAGTCAAACGTCAAAGAGACGTTCAAGATGTTTGGAAACTAGTCTTTTATGTGTTGGTGTGTTCTAGTGTGATGTTCATGTTTTTATGTGTTGTTTGGAGTCTAAATTCTGCAGAGGTGACCCTAGTGTCCTAATAAATGTTTTTAGGGTGAAAATATTCGGGTATGACTCCTCGGTACCACCCTAAGGTCCCCGAGGAAGACCCCAACCCTTGGCTAAACAAGCTGCCAAGGCAGCTTGAAAATACACTTGGAGGGAGCATGTCCGCGTCACGGACAAGCTCCACCAAGGGCCAAAAATCTTGCTCCGCATCGCGGACATGTTTCCGGACGAAATCTGTGAAAATAAAACTGAAGTTTGAGTTGTTTTAAAAGGTCCGACTAAGTGAGGGGTGATTTGGTCACTTTGGGGAATTATTATAATTGGTTATTCATGCTATTTTAGTGTATTTTGAGTGGATGAAACCCCAAGACCTAGAATTTGACCTCATTATCTAAATTGAACCTTCCCTCTCAAATAAACTCTCTCTAGAACTACATGGAAGACATCTTTGAAGCTTCAAGCTAGGGGATTGGTTTTTCCTGATTTCTCCTTCAAATTCCTAGGAAATTAATCATAAAGGTATAGGGATTTTTTCTTTGATTCTCCTTTCAATAAAAGAGCCAAATTAAAGAGATTTCAATGTTTTTTCAAAAACACTAAAAAACCCCAATTACAATTCTATGCTTGGATTCTTGCTTGAAAGTATTTCAAATGATGTTTTATGTTAATATTGATGGTTTTAAGGTCAAAAACTCCATGAGCCCTTGCATATCTTGAAACCCTAATTTTGCGTCTAAAGTGGGTTTATTGATTATGAGCTAATAATATGATATTAATATATAGATTGTTATGGGCTATTGATTTATGTATTGTTCTATATTGGATTAAGAGGAATTCATGGTCAATTGTGTTATATTGGATGTTGTCCTTGAATGGGCAATTGTGACCTAAGGTTTATGATGATAATGAAGTTGTGAATAGATTATTTGATTCTAGTATTATATATATATGTGTTGTAGATGTTAGAATTGTGAGGTTTGATCCCTTTGAAAGTGGGGAGGTGTTTACTTTATACGCATGTTGTGACCACGGCCTTGTAGGCAAAGTTGGATGATTGTTCTTTTGTGTAAATGTGATTATGTGAAGGTAATGTGATATGATGTGAATTTGTGTATGCTCTAAGAGCATGAAAGGTGACCTTGTGTAAGAGACTTTATGTATTATGCTTGGTTGTTGTCTTCTTTGAATGACTTATAATGAATGTGGGGTTAGGGTAGACTATGTTCACCTACTCTCACACCTAGGGAAGAATGAATGAAAAAAAGTAAGAATGAATGAATAGAATGGGAGGTAATGCTAATAAATGAAAGTTGGGTCTATTATAAGGATAGTTTCATAAAGTAGTCCTTTAAATGAACGGGGTTCGTAGATGAAAGGTTTTCTCATCTTTGAATCTAAGAACTTCTTTAATGAATGAATGAGGGTTAGGATGGGTATTCCTTCGTGAGTTGAGATAAGAATACTTAGTAACAATCCTTATCACTAAATGAATGCATGTTGGGCTAGGATGGGTGCTCCTTCGTGAGTTGAGATGTGAGTATTTAGTAGCTCTCCTTATCCCTAAATGAATGAAATGAATGTCCTACTCCGTAGTGTAATAATGCCTAGAACCAAGAGGATATGAAGATGGGTGGATACTCCTTCGTTAGTTGAGATGTGAGTATTTAGTAGCAACCCTTAAGATGGGTGCCCCTTCGTTAGTTGAGATGTGGGTACTTGGAAACAATCCTTCTATCCCTTAACTATGTGCCCAAATCGGTCTAGCAAGTGGTCTCTACCACGTAAAGGCTAAAAGAATGACCCTACCTTAGGCAAGTGGGGATCCTCATTCAGTAAGGGTACTACCGGGATTCCATGTCAAGCTCCATGGTCTATGTCGGTTAAGGCTTTTCCCCCACATTAATGAATGAATGAACTAGGGTCTCTTAAGGATGTAATACTTAGGATAGGTGGTGGAATAGGAAACCATCAAGATATTGCACGAGTAGACATTTAAAGGAGATCTTGGTGTGTCTTAGTAGTGATAATGAATGAATGAATCTCTTTAGGCTAATTAATCAAAGTGTTGGTCTTTGAGCATGCTAACTTGAACGTAGGTTCTTATGTTGAATTGAATGTATGTGACAATCTTATGCCATTAGTGAATGAAGTTGTCTAAATGCATTTAGTTGAAAGAATGATTTATGTTGAGATGTGAATGGAGCTTGTCTTGGGTAGCCTTAAGGATCACTTGGGTGTGGTATGGAGAGGTAGTATGGGCTGCCTCACCATGTCTTACTTAGGTGAGTCTTGGGATGACATTTGATCAGTGTTCTAGATTTATGAAGTGACTTGTTGGCTTATGATCTTATACGTCTTATGTGATTAATTGGTGAAGGTGGAGGTACGCATGGTAAGTGCACTTTGTCTGACCTTAATGTGGTGCCTTAGTGTGGGATGGTATGGGACGTTGCCCATACATTGCTCTAAGGTATTGCTTAAGGGTTACTTAAGGTGGAGGTCCAAGGCAAGATGGTAAAGGTAAATGGGTTATGTATGTTTATGAGGTATTGTGAAGCATATGACTTCGTATTGTTTAGTTGTGACTTGTAAGTGCCTATAATGTTGATGTTCATGAGATTTTATTAAAATGGCATGAAAGCATAACTTCTGAACAAATGCCCTTTTTAGCATGTTTTGCATATCCTCATAATTAGTACGTGTGTCGTACTAACTCTTTTCTTCTATTTTACTACAAGTGTTGGTTGTGGTAACTAGGATAAGATTGTGCTTTGGAGTTTCTTGGATTCCTTCACTATTCCAAGTCTTTGGTATGTCCTCAAGATTCGAGGACTATGTTTAGAAGTTTCTTAGTCATTGCAATAGACTCTTAAGTTTCATTTCGTGTGTAAATGGTCGTGTCCCTTAGTACATTTTAAGTTCTTGTCTAAGATTGGCAAAAGAGACTTAGTAGTTCCGTTTGCGTATAGGTGTTTTCAAATGTTGATGACTCTTGAAGTCTTATGGTTTTATTGAATAAAAGTTTTAAATTCTTAGTGATTTTTATGATTTATGCGATGAATGAATGCTAAGGCTTGTATAAGACCTCCAAGAGGTCGAATACGCATGTAACGGCTAGGGGGTGCTCCTGGGTCATTACAAACTTGGTATCAGAGCAATATGGTTTAAAGATTGCTTGTAGGTTCAAAGTCTCGAAAGCCACATCTAGTACAGTGTTGTTCATCGGTGTGAGTCGGGACACATCTATGAGCGAGAGGCTATAGGACGATAGAAGTTTAAATTTCTTTCATTATTCTGTAGGTCGTGCCTTAGAGTTTGGTCTATAAGTGTTCTTTTCCTAATTTGTCTCTTGTGTTTATATGATATGAATACGAGGGCTAATCGGAAGAGAGCGGAAAAGTAGATAGATCATGAGGGAGTTCCTCCCCAAGGAGTGCAAGGTGGCCAAGCATTTTTAGGTGTGTAAGAGAATGAGGTTCCGGTGGTTCCCTCGGATATGACTAATGGGGAGATTAGTGAGGCTTTTCTCTCCCTAGCCTGTGCCATGACTACTCAAGCAAATAGAGATGTTATGCCTAGGGTGAATGATATTGAGAGTACCGTGGCCTCAAGGTTAAGGGATTTCACAAGGATGAATCATTCTACCTTCTTGGGTTCTAAGGTAGATGAGGACCCACAAAACTTTATTGATGAGGTTTTTAAGATTGTGGATGCCATGGGAGTGACTCCTATGGAGAAGGCGGAGTTGGTTTTCAACCAACTCAAGGATGTAGCTCTAGTGTGGTTTGAGAAATGGAGGGATGAGAGACGCATAGTGGCTGACCCAATGGATTGGGGAGTGTTTAAGACGACCTTTCTTGATAGGTTTTTCCCCTTAGAGTTGAGGGAGAAAAAGTTGGTTGAGTTCATGAACCTACGTCAAGACAATATGAATGTGAAGGAATACTCTCTCAAGTTTACTGAACTCTTTAAGTATTCTCCTACCTTGGTAGCAAATTCTTGGGCAAGAATGAATAAGTGTGTGATGGTGATTTCCGGTTTGGTTAAAGAAAAGTGTCGTACGGCCATACTCCATCATGATATGGATATATCTAGACTTATGGTTTATGCTCATCAACTTTAGGAGACGAAACTTAGGAAGATGAATAGAGATATGAAGAGGGATAGGCCGGATGAACAAAACCAATCTAGGTCTAAGAAGAGGTTCTATAAACAAGATTCTTCAATGGTCAACAATGATATGGTGTCTAACCATAAACCTCATAGAGGGAATGGAGGTGGTTCTACTTTTGAGAGGACTAGGTGTGCAACTTGTGGAAAGTAACATTTGGGCAAGTGTCTTGTCAACACGGATGGATTCTTTGGATGTGGGAGTAAGGGTCATAGGATGAGAGATTGCCCTATACTTAAGACAAAAGGGTAAGAGACCAATCAAGTTTCTCATGATGGCCCGGATCCAAATGCTTCTAATAGGAACCGTTTCTATATGCTTCAAGGTAACAAAGATAAGGGAACAAATGAAGGTAAGTCAATTTTCTTTCTTGTTTGATGATAAGTTTAGATGGGTTTACCCTCAGTGGGGGATGATGAGTTGAGTAGTAAGGTTGTTGATATCCTTATATTTTCCTTCTATTCTAATTCAAGTTTGAAACGAAGAGTTCTTAGTAGCATGTTGCGTGTTGGAGTCTTATGTGAATTGAGTTTCGATATTCTCCTTATGATGTGCATATTTTTGTTGAATTCTTGTTTAAATAAATAAATTAGTTTTCATGACTTTGTCCCTTATGATTAACATGCGTTTATGAAGAATTGTTTAAATTGCTCCATGAGATGCCTAGTCGAGCATGATATGCTATGGAGAAGGAAGTTCCTCCAAAAAAATGAGAAGTGGTAAAGTTTTGTGCATATTGAGTGGTAGATGTTATTACTATTTCCTTGATGTTTCCTCCTTGATGTGTGTTGCAGTAATGATATTACATTCTTGTTGTGGGGTGCTAGTCCTAGATTATGTACTCTTTAATGCTTGAAGTGTCATTCGAGGACGAATGTTCCCAAGTGGGGGATATTGTAACTCCCCTCAAAATGAAATAGGATAATTAGAGCTTCACATACGTGTTAGTAGTTCATAAGTCTGTATAAATTTTTTAAAATGAGTTTATAAGTCAGTTTAGTTGAGTTTGAAGTCAAACGTCAAAGAGATGTTCAAGACGTTTGGAAACTAGTGTTTTACGTGTTGTTGTGTTCTAGTGTGTTGGTAATGTTTTTATGTGTTGTTTGAAGTCTAAAATCAGTGGAGGTGACCCTAGTATCTTAATAAATATTTTTTGGGTCAAAACGTTCGGGTATGACTCCCCGGGACCACCCTAAGGGTCCCCGAGGAGGACCCCAACCCTTGGCTAAACAAGCTGCCAAGGCAGCTTGAAAATACACTTGGAGGGAGCATGTCCGCGTTGCAGACTAGCTCCACCAAGGGCCAAAAATCTTGGTCCGCGTTGCGGACATTTCACGGACTCTTCTGTCTCAATATTTAATATCCAAAAACTTGTGGGAACACCTTCGCATCACGAACATGTTTCACGACGAAATCTGCGAAAATAAAACTGAAGGTTGACTTGTTTTAAAAGGTCCAACTAAGTGAGGGGTGATTTGCGTACTTTGGGGAATTAATATAATTGGTTATTCAACTTATTTTAGAGTTTTTTGAGTGGATAAAACCCCAAGACCTAGAATTAGACATCATTATCAAAATTGAACCTTCCCTCTCCAATAAACTTTCTCTGTTGAACCCCATGGAAGAGACCTTTGAAGCTTCAAGCTAAGGGATTGGTTTTTACTGATTTCTCTGTCAAATTCCTAGGAAATTAATCATAAAGGTGTAGGGATTTTTTCTTTGATTCTCCTTTCAATAAAAGAGCCAAATCAAAGATATTTCAATGTTTTTCAAAAACACTAAAAAACCCCAATTACAATTCTATTCTTGGATTCTTGCTTGAAAGTATTTCAAATGATGTTTAATGTTAATATTGATGGTTTTAAGGTCAAAAACTCCATGAGCCCTTGCATATCTTGAAACCCTAATTTTGTGTCTAAAGTGGGTTTATTGATTATGAGCTAATAATATGATATTAATATATAGATTGTTATGGGCTATTGATTTATGTATTGTTCTATATTGGATTAAGAGGAATTCATGGTCAATTGTGTTATATTGGATGTTGTCCTTGAATGGGCAATTGTGACCTAAGGTTTATGATGATAATGAAGTTGTGAATAGATTATTTGATTCTAGTATTATATATATATATATATATATATGTGGTAGATGTTAGAATTGTGAGGTTTGATCCCTTTGAAAGTGGGGAGGTGTTTACTTTATACGCATGTTGTGACCATGTCCTTGTAGGCAAAGTTGGATGATTGCTCTTTTGTGTAAATGTGATTATGTGAAGGTAATGTGATATGATGTGAATTTGTGTATGCTCTAAGAGCATCAAAGGTGACCTTGTGTAAGAGACTTTATGTATTATGCTTGGTTGTTGTCTTCTTTGAATGACTTATAATGAATGTGGGGTTAGGGTAGACTATGTTTACCTACTCTCACACCTAGAGAAGAATGAATGAAAGAATGTAAGAATGAATGAATAGAATGGGAGGTAATGCTAATAAATGAAAGTTGGGTCTATTATAAGGATAGTTTCATAAAGTTCTCCTTTAAATGAACGGGGTTCCTCGATGAAAGGTTTTCTCATCTTTGAATCCAAGAACTTCCTTAATGAATGAATGAGGGTTAGGATGGGTATTCCTTCGTGAGTTGAGATGAGAATACTAAGTAGCAATCCTTATCCCTAAATAAATGAATGCTGGGCTAGGATTGGTGCTCCTTCGTGAGTTGAGATGTGAATACTTAGTAGCAATCCTTATCCCTAAATGAATGAAATGAATGTCCTTTTCCATGGGGGAGTAATGCCTAGCACTGAGAGGATATGAAGATGGGTGGATACTCCTTCGTTAGTTGAGATGTGAGAATTTAGTAGCAACCCTTAAGATGGGTGCCCCTTCGTTAATTGAGATGTGGGTACTTGGAAACAATCCTTCTATCCCTTAAGTATGTGCCCAAATCGGTCTAGCAAGTGGTCTTTACCACGTCAAGGCTAAAAGAATGACCCTACCTTAGGCAAGTGGGGATCCCTCATTCAGTAAGGGTACTACCGGGATTCCATGTCAAGCTCCATGGTCTATGTCTTTTAAGGCTTTTCCCCCACATTAATGAATGAATGAACTAGAGTCTCTTAAGGATTTACTACTTAGGATAGGTGGTGGAATAGGAAATTAATCATAAAGGTATGGGGATTTTATCTTTGATTCTCCTTTCAATCAAAGAGATTTCAATGTTTTTCAAAAACACTAAAAAACCCCAATTACAATTCTAAGCTTAGGTTCTTGCATAAATGTATTTCAAATGATGTTTTATGTTAATATTGATGGTTTTAAGGTAAAAAAGTCCATGAACCCTTGCATATCGTCTAAAGTGGGTCTATTGATTATGATAAGGGGGTAACAAAGGAAAGGGTGGCACCCGGATCAATTAAAGTATAAACATCAAGATCAAAGATTTGCAACATACCGGTTACCACATCCGGAGTCTCATTAACACCTTGTCTACCATGCAAAGCATAAAATCGATTGTCCCTTGGGGCACCACTTTGAGAAGCACCTCTACCCAAAGGAGTAGTGTTAGAACTTCGGACCTCGTTGCGGATCTTGGGACATTCAAACCTCTTATGACCCACTTCTCCACATTCGAAGCAAGCACCCGAACCCTTCATGCAAGGACCACCATGCTTCCTCCCATACTTAGGGCATACATCCATAGAACCCACTTCACCTCCCCCTTGAGGTCTAGGAACATTGATAGCAAATCCCCGGTTGACATGAGGGTTTCCTCGGCCTTGATGAAATCTAGCACCCTTAGGGAACCTATTCTCCAATCGGGCCCTCTTGGCCTCGTGCCCCCTTCTCTTCCTCAATTTCTCCTCCTCCATTTGCTCGGCATAAGTCATCAACCGAGACAAATCCATATCTCCAATGAGCATAGCGGACAGACACTCCTCGCTAACCAAGTCGGATACACCCATCACAAATTTGTTCATCCTCGACCTAGAGTCGGCCACCAAGTGAGGTGCATACTTGGAGAGTTGGACAAATTTGAGGGCATACTCCCTCACACTCATAGCTCCTTGCTTCAAGTTCATGAACTCCACCAACTTTGCCTCCCTAAGCTCAAGAGGGAAGAACCTATTAAGGAAAGCAAGTTTAAACTCCTCCCACAACACCACATAGCCATTACCTTTCTCACCCTTCCATTGATCAAACCAAATTTGAGCAACCCCCTTGAGTTGGTAGGCCGCCAATTCCGCCTTCTCACAAGCACCAACATCCATAATGGTCAAGATTTTGCATACCTCATCGATGAACTCTTGCGGGTCCTCATCCACCTTTGAACCATGGAAGACCGGAGGGTTCAACCTCATGAAATCTCTCACCCTTTCCCCCGGGGTGGTAGCTCGAGGAGCTTGGGCTCCTTGTTGCACTTGGTTAGCTACCACTTGTGCAAGCATGGTGAGTGCATCACAGAGCTCACCATTGGTGGGTGGCTCTTCCGGTGATCGGGCCCGTCTTCCCCTCATGTTTGGCATGATGATCTAGCAATCCAAAGAACAAGCGTTATGGAGGAATCACCCTATCGCACTCTAAGCACGACATAGAACATGAAGAAGGGAAACCTTTCCTAAAACGTTTGTAGCCTCCCATTCATAGTCGTGGGGCGCTTCACAACCATGATTAGGACTCTATTCAACGCGGTGTGTTGGACTTCGAGGATTTAACAACCTAGTACTTTGATACCAAGCTTGTCACAACCCAAGCCTAGGGCCTAGACGTGACATGGCGAATGAGGAACCCGAAGGAACCCCAAACAAGCCTCTCAAACTTGTCATCACACTTCATCGGTCGCGGAAGTACAATCAACATTAATTAACGGGAAATAGGGACTAAGGGCAAACCATTTCAAAATGACATCATAGAATAAGAGTCAAGCTCACTTACAAAATACTTGTCCAACGC